CTTTTTTTTTTTTTTTTTTTTTCCTGGACACTGGTCCTGTTCAAAAAGCACTGCTGCTGTTGTGTGACCCCAGATAGGGCACCAGCGATAGACCAAGGCAACACCACCACCCAAGTCCAGCTTGGTGAACCAATAGGTTTACTGGGGCTACTTACAGGAGTGTGGGCAACTAAAAGACAGGTGCATCACTGGAGCGCTTACCCCAGCATCAGGACAACTCACAAAAGCTGCAGTCCCTGGGGCTCCCTAAACAACTTGCAGGAATCTCTGCTTTCCAGCAGTTTACTGCTTTGTAATCTAGGGGAGGAACCTTGTGAACTTGTAACATTCTAAGCTTCCTGAGGGGGATAAGTTTCTAAGGTAAATTTCCTGAGGTTCCCTGAGTCTTCTGAGCCTCCCACCATCCTCCAGGCATGAAAGTTTCACATACAACAGCTGCAGAAACCAGGTGCTACCCTCGCTTTCCTGAGGCTGTGGGCCCTGGGGAGGTTAGGAACCAGCTTGTTGGGGCCAGCCTGCTCTAATAGGCCAAGGGCAGCACTAGTGGCCTGTGCCAAGCTTAGGCGGCATTGTCCCGGCCCCCAGGTGCCTGAACTATGTCCTGGAGGAGCTCAAGCACACCACCAAGGCAGAAGTGATGGTGGCCTCCCACAATGAGGACACAGTGCGCTTTACACTGCGCAGGTAGGTACTGCCAACCTGAGCTGGAGGCTTCTCTGTGGTTTCCAGGGCTGAGGGATCACAGTGACCTGTCAGGTACTGCTGGGCATTTTTCAGGTAATATCTGTGGAATGAGCTGGCCCAAGCCTTTAGCTCCCCACAGACTTGCCTGCTGTTCTTGATGTTGCCCCCCAGGAGCAAGACTATTTGCAGCTAGTTACATTAGTTTTTAAATTTAATACCGACCTTAGTAAAGTTTCAAGTTCAAAAAATAAATTTTGTTAGGTGATTGAAGTGATTCACTGACAGGCAGAGATTCGGTGTTAGATCCCAGGGCCCCTTGGGAAGCCTTGCCAGTGTGTTGTTTCATTTATCAAGTTTCCTGTAACATTTTAAGCCGCATCAGAATTTCTGTTTTCTCTTTAAATGCTTATCCCATGGAGCACAACTTCGGTAGAATTCTAGCAAGTCAAATACTGAAATAAGGTGAAGTAAATTCCCAAAGAGCCCAAGTATCCCCACAGTTCCCTATCTCATACTGTAACCCCCAAGAATTCCTGCACCAGGGCTTCAGTGACTCCCCCCGACTCCCTGTCCTAATGTTCCTGGATTTAGAAACAAAAGTTTGGTGGACCCTGGACAGTGGCCTTGCAGGGTTAGCTTCCCAGGAGTCATACTGGACTTCCACCATACAGTAGGAAGCACCATACCTGAGCTGGGACACCCAGGGGAGCTTCCTAAAGGCGATGAAGTGGAAGGACTGGATCATAGGTCAAGGGCACTTTTAGGCACTGCTTGGAGACCCCTGATTTCTAGCTCTAAATTCAGTGATTGTGAAACATCCTTTATTCAGAATATTTTACACAGCTTGAAATCACAAGGCACCCTGAATGCAACTATATGACAGGCAGGGGATACCAGCTGCAGAGGAGGCAGCAGGCCTCCTAAACTCCACTACCGCCTGGTATCACAGACCTTGGTGGCCAGCCGAGGGTTGAGGAAAGACCTGGAGACAAGACTCCTGCAGAGAGCGCTTCTGTGCTCTGGGCAGCCTGGGGCAGGTTCAGGGGATTGAGGTGATGAGAATGGAGGGAGTGTTAGGGGCCGGGAAAGCTCAGACCTTGCTAAGAACAAGGTGTGAGGAGGCCCAGGCTCCTCATGCCCTAGGAAACTAGAGATGAGAACACGGAATCATCACTGCAGATATTTAAACTGGGGAAGTCTGGTCAGATCCTACAAGGGGTGGTAGGAAGACAGGAGGGTGTTGGACAGTTTCCTTATCCCCCATCTAAGCAGTGCTAATAGAAATATAACTCAGTAGGGCTAGGGAAATGGCCCAGCCAGTGAGGTGCTTTCTGTACAAGCATGAGGATCCTAGTTTGATTCACAGAACCCATGTAAAAAAGTTGGGTGTGGTGGTGCATGTTTGTAATCCCAACAGGCAGCAATAGGAGGCTTCCTGGCCAGCTAGCTTAGCCAAATCAGGGAATCCCAAGATAATGAGACTGTCTCAGGAAACAAGGTGGATGGTTTCTGAGGGAACACTGTAGGTGGTCCTCTGGTCATACATATGCACACGTATACACATGAACATGCATACAAGCGCACGTATATGAAATACAATGTAATCCACAGCCATAGCTTTAATTTTCTAGTAGCCAGGTTAAAACAGAACAAAGAAATTATTCCAATAATGTATTTTAGGTCTAGGGGTGTGGCTCAGGGTGGCTCACTTGCCTGGCATGCACAAACAGGGCTCTGGGTTCATTTTCTGGCCAGTCTCCAGCATGCTCTGTGTATGTATGTGATAGTTGTAGTACATCTCCGCTCAGACCAGCACCCTCTGAGGACCTCTGGAGGCTGTGCACCTAACAGAGGAACTGTGGAGACAGGAACAGCCAACAAGGGGAGGATGAGGCAGGGGATGGGGACCCAGGCACCAGAGCAAAGTCCCAGAGGGCTGTAGGAGGGCCCAGAACAGAAGGTGAAGGCAGTGAAATGGAAGGGAGGAGGGCAGGGGAGAAAGGGAAAGTCTGCTACCTGGGTGTTCTCTGTGGGCAACAGGGCAGGCCAAGGAAACTTGTGAAGACCTGCCTGGATGGGGTAGAGCAGAGCCCATGTCCCTGCCCCACCCTACAGGGAACAGAAGCTACAATGTAGGTGGGAGGGAAACCCCTGGGGCAGTGTTCTGGGGTGGGTCCTCACCTGCCTGGCACCCTTTCACAGGATGGAAGAGCTAGGCCTGCATCCTGCTGATGGCCAGGTGTCCTTCGGGCAGCTGCTGGGCATGTGTGACCAAATTAGCTTTCCACTAGGTGAACTGGGTTGCCCTGGGCAGGGTGGGGGAGGGGCACCTGCTGAGGGTGGGCACTCACAGTTGCTCCTGTGTGTGTGCAGGCCAGGCAGGCTTTCCTGTGTACAAGTACGTACCCTATGGCCCTGTGATGGAGGTGCTGCCCTACCTGTCCCGCCGTGCCCTGGAGAACAGCAGCATCATGAAGGGCGCTCAGCGAGAGAGGAAGCTGCTATGGCAGGAGCTGCGCCGGCGGCTGTGCACTGGTAGCCTCCTCCACCACCCGGTCTAGCACCCAGTGCAGGGCCCATGCCTATACCACTCAACCTGTTACCTTGCAGGGCCTTAGGCAGGGCAGGACTTTGGGTGGGGCTGTGTTCCTCAGTCAGTGCAACAGCCCAACCCACCCTTACAGGGTTCACCTTTTTATACCCAAGCCTTTGAGGTACTGAGGTGGTGGCCACCTTTTGGGACTCCCAGTCCCCCCAGGAGCAGGTGCTCAGATGTGGGCTTAGCCAGAGCCTCTTGAACTGTCCTAATGAATGGGCACTGACTATCTCAGCAGGACCCATAGCCCTAGTCCAGTAGGACCAGCTTCTACCAGGGTCTAGTCCATCCCCCCAAATCCCAACAGTGGGCAAAGCACAGGCTGAGAAGGCTGCTTGGTCAATAAATCATTATTCTGTAGCCGAGAGCTGTGAACTTGTATCTGTACATGAAGTCAGCTCTGGGCAGCAGAGGGACTGGCCTGGATGGAGGACTATTACCTGCAGGCTCTGGAGGCCATCCCACTCCAGGCATGGGGGCAACACCTCTGCCTGATTGTATTGACACCCGGCTACCTACCTTTCCACAGCTCAGGCACCAGAGTCTTGATGAGTACAGACAGTGTGCAGATGCTGAGGCTCAGTTCCCTGCCAACCCTTCCTTCCATTCTGCCCTTTACTCCAGCAGCCCCAGGGACCTAACAAGTTCCAGCCTCTCTAATAGACCACTGACCAAGTCTGTGCAAGGGACTCCCCTGCCACTGCCTAAGCTCTTACCCAGAGTAGTTTGGAGGTGGGTCTTTGTGCCTTGGTTGGGGGACCTATATAGACAATGACAGTGCCAGGCATGAGGGCTAGGACTGGGACTGTGTACTCCGGAAGGTCCCTGTTTCATAGTGGCTGTAATTCAGCTGGCTTCAACATGGCCAGAGCTACTAGAAAAGGATCCTGCATGGACTTGGGCTGTGGTAGAAATATAGACACAAAACATCTGCAGGGGTCTTTATTTCTCTAGGCCATATAGGGCTTAGGCTTTGAGGCCTCTTTCACTTGGGGGCTGTGGCTATTAAGGGAGGGGCCATGACCAGAATAAGGCAAAGTCTGAGGCTAGAGGGTGGCATGTGCCCAGAGGGGAAGGCACCAGAACCAAAAGCCCCACTCAACAGCTAGTCCTGGGACTATCAGCTGGCAAGTTGGACCTCTTCCTCCTCAAGATACCATCCTAGTGTTTGGACAAAAAAGTTCAAAAGGTGGATGGCAGGTGCAGCCAGGGTCCAACCAGCCTCGTCTCAGAAAGATGAGAGCTGCTAGCAGCTCCTCAGTGGCTCTTGCAGCTTTCTGGCAACAGTGGACAAGGCTGCATTTCTAACCATCCTGGGCAATGGGGGCCAGTAGGGACCCCTACATGGTCACAGGCATGCCTTCCCTGCTTGGCAGCCCCTCTGTTGCAGTTTCCGGATGAGTTCCAACAGATTCATCTGCAGTGTCAGCTCCTGGAATGTAGAGGAGACCCTGTGAAGGCCATCATGACACCTGGTGCCCTGACAGATACAAGGGCCTAGAGGATACCAGGCAGTGAGGCTAAGGGGCTGACTTCCCTGTACGGGCTGGTCACAGCCAGGCAGAAAGGGGGAGAATCTGGGCTTTGGGGCCTAGCAAGGCCAGCAGTCTCTGACTGACACACTTAGAGGAGCATATAGGAGGCTGGCAAGTAGGAGGTGGGTAGATGGCCCAGCAAGATGGGAACAGGTGGGCAGTACCCCAGTGCCAGCTTGCTTACTTTCCTGTGAGCAAGGGTATTAGCCTCTGTGCCCTCCCATCTCACCCCTGTCCACTACTGGCCTTGGGTTTCACTAAAGACCAACAGGCTGACTCCAGACGGATTAGATGTGGTGGCATATGCTTATAATCTCTGCACTTAGAGCCAGTATGGCTGCATAGCAAGACCCTGCCTCAAAAAAACAAAACATTTTAAAAAACCCAAAGCAGCCGGGCATGGAGGTGCACACCTTTAATCCCAGCACTCAGGAGGCAGAGGCAGGAGGATCTCTGTGAGTTCAAGGGCAGCCTGGTCTACATAGTGAGTTCTAGGACAGCTACAGGGAGACCCTGTCTCAAAAAGACCAAAAGAAAAACCCTAAAGCAACACCCCCCGACCCAAAAAAAAACACCCTTCCAGACAAAAAAGCTCCAGATGGAATTGGACCTCCAGGGGTCAGGGAGGCCTAGACACTGACCTGTGGGTTGGTAGTCACGTAGAAACCAGCCACTCCTGCCTTCTCGAGTGTGCTCTGTTGGTCAGCCACCTTCCGGTCCAGCTCCAGGACAATCTTGCGGTCCATCGCCTGCTGTTCCTCTCGAATTCGATGCTCCACTGCCTGCCAATGGCTTGAATGAGGGTGGTTCCAGCTCGGCCTTCTGCCCAGCAATGCCTTCCACTTCCTCCTGGCTCCTATGCTAATCCCCAGGGAAGCCCCAGCTCCAGGGCTACAGTATTCTTACCACAATCAGGCCTCGCCTTTCTTGCCCTCACCAAACCCTGCAGAGGTGCTCTAAGAGCTAGAGCTGCCTTTGCAACTTCACCCTCCTGAAGTCACCTCCCTCACCCTCCACCCCATGGCTTGTTGATTTCTTGTGGGTCTGAAGCTGACCCTGAGCTCCGAGAAGGCGGGGCCTCTTCCTTGACTGACCCTGTGATCCCACCATTGCACTTTATTACCTCAGACTACTGGGACAGTGTCCCTGACTCAGCACCTGCTCTGTGCAGGCTTTAGTCCATAAGAGCTGCTGGGGGCTGGGGAGGGGGGGCAGAAGAGTGACAGATGGGCTCTGACTGCTAGTCAGGGCATACCCCAATCCCCATGGGGAGAAGCCATGTGCTGAGACTCACCAAGCCTCTAGCAGCCCATAGCTTCTGAGCCACCCTGAGACTTTGGTGAGGCAGATGGTACCTACAAGGAGCTAGGTCCAGCCATTTCATCCCACTTCCTACCTCCAGCTCGCGCTGATGAGCTGCCTGGAGCACTGGCAGGTTGTGGGGCCGGCAGGTCTGCTGGGCTTCCTGATGCTTCTGCCTCAGAGCCTGCCTGAGCACTGGGAAGGGATGAGAGCTGTCAGCAATAGCAGGTGTTGGGAAGAGGGGGGCTACCCAAGTCAGGGTGAGGAAGGGGCCCACTCTAAGGCTCTCCCCTGCTGGAAGCCCTGTACTAGGCACCTAGGAGAGCTTTGGTCCCTGTAGGACCACTCTCATCCAGGATACCTTCCTTCATCTCCAGGGTACTTCAGAAGGTACAGAGCACTAAAAGGGGATGGTGTAGGTAAGGTGGGTATGGCAATATGCCCAAAACTGTAGACTTGGGATAGGGAGAGGAGACAGGCAGGTGGTTGCTAGGCTCAGATAGAGTTCTGGCCATCACCTATGGGACACGTACTGAAGTAGTTAAGAGCCAAAGGCCTGTGAAAGAAGGGGTTGCTGTGTGCCAGCAGTGTGGCGGTGTTCAACTTTGGTGCTGGGAGCACAGGATGAAAGGAAACTGCAATTTTAAGACACCATGCAGCCAGTATGAGCATCAGATGGCTACTTGGCCCAGGCTGGGAGTATGGCTGGCAGCCCATAAGAAAACTCAAAACCCAATACCCTCTTAGTCTTCGACAGCTGTATTGGGGGGGGGGGTCCGTGATAACTACCCTGGCCCCTGCTGTGCCCACAGCTTCCCCTATATCTCATCATTTTGTATATACCTCAATGATCACATCTGTTGTTTTAAACCAAGGGCTACTCTCAAGATATGTCTACAAATACAAAGCAAGAAAAGAGATTGCTTTGTTATCTGGTCACAGTGCACACGAGGTAGAAGCAGGGCTTGAGGCAAAAGGTCATCTCATTCACTTCATTTAGCAAATGTTGCTTCAAGTCCTAGATCAATTCCCAGATTCCACATTGGCTGCCTGCTCAGGAGGAGCCCCACTATGGTAATGACCAAGGAAAGCAAAGGTGGCCAGTTCTGAACACCACCTGCTGGATCTGCTGAAGGCAAGGCTGCACTGACAGGTACACCAAGCCTTCCAACAGTCAATGACAAAGATACCAAGAACTGCCCCACTCAAAGGGCCCTAAGAAAAGGCCAGTTCAAGGCAGGGAGAAAACAAGAAAAAATAAGAAGGGACTTCCTCCCTTTCTGGGAGGGAAGAAGTGCAGGAAAAAAGATGGGGATGCACCGGAAGGAACCAGGGTGAGCTGAGCACTGACAAGAATGAGCAAAGCTGGGCCTGGCAGCACAGGTTCAAGATCCCTGCAGGTGCACTGCCAGTTCTAGGCCAACCTAGACTCCACAGACTGATCAAAAACCAGAAAGGAAGAAAATGAATTGAGTCATGTACTTTAGATTTGTGAATTATATGCATCTTATACCTCTATCAAAACCTTTTTTTTTAAGAAAAAAAAGCATAACCAAGAAAAAATATAAATCCTATATAAATTCTTTGGAAACTAGAGACTTCATGTCCTACCTACTACACTGGCAAAATAAGAAAACTGCAGACTGATGTCTATCATGAATAAAGGGGAGAAAAAACAAATATTTTCATGAATCAACTCCAACATACAGGGAGATGACTCAGTAAAATGCTTGTGCAAGCATGAGGTTCTGAGGGTGGATCCCTATCACCCTTGTAGAAAACTGGGTGCAGCCTCAGTGCTGGGGAGCAGAGTCAGGCTGATTCCTACAGCTCACTGGCCAGCCAGTCTGGCCAAATCAGTGATCTCCAGGGTCAGCGACAGACCCTGTATCAAAAAGATGGAGAAAAATTGAGAGATACCCCAGATCTATCTCTGGTCTCCACATTTGGGCACACAAGTACATATGCATTTGTATACACATGTGCACACAACCACATGAACAGGTCCACACATGCACACAAAAAGTTTAAACAAATCCGACACACATAAAAAGACAAATGTATCATTACTGCACTGGATCCATTCCCAGGATGCAGCTCATTTTAGTAATTTAGAAATCAATGTCATTCATCGTAGTAACAGAAAAACTGATTGTCTCCATAAGTACAGGGATAGGTTTTAACAAAATCTAGTATCCACCCTAATCTGGTGGCACACAGGTACTGCCTGCCCTCACAGTGAGGTGATCTTGCGTCATTACCAGAAATGCCACATTTACTTAGCACTTAAGCTTCCACCTGCTGTCCAGTGTACAGGAAACCACAGTGCAGAGAGGTTAAATGATAGCATGAGGAAACAATCTGGTAAATCCACAGCAAGGGCATCACACAGATAAAATGCACTGGAACTTTAAAAGCCAGTGCCACTATAAATACTGGGGACTATTCCAGAAGCAAAGACCCAAGTAACCAATTAGAATGCACACCCCTGGCCTGGATTCTTAATTATAAATGGCAATTTGAAACACATTAAGTAATATAGCCATGAACTGAATGTCTGGAGACACTGAAATGGTTCACTATGGCAGTGTAGGAGGGTGTTTTTTTATTTTTTAAAAAAATATTAGCTGGGTGTGGTAGCCCATGCCTTTAATCCCAGCACTTGGGAGGCAGGCGGATCTTTATGAGTTCGAGGCCAGCCTGGTCTACATAGCGAGTTCCACGGCAGCTGGGGCTACAGCAAGACCCTGTCTCAAAAAGACCAAAAAAAAAATATTTTTGTTTTATACATATGAGTTATTTTGCCTGCATGTTTGTAAGGGCACTCATGTTGTGCAATGCCTGCAGAGGAGGGTGTCAGATCCCCTGGAAATGGAGTTATGAATGCTTGTTAGCTGCCATGTAGGTGCTGGAAATCGAACCCAGATCCTCTGGAAGAACAGCAAGTGTTCCTACTCACTGAACCATCTCTCCAGCCCTAAGGGTGTTTTATCTAAAGCACTGGCCCATAATCCATGCACATTTGGTGCCCTCCGCCCGGCAAAAGGGGGCAAAAGGGAACGGATTCTAAAGGGGACCGCACAGCTGGCACCAGACATACTTCCAGACATGATAGACATCTGTGGTCAACAACTACAGGGCAGGTCTGCCGCGGAGTAGGCCAAACACAAAGCCCTTGGGCCACCCTGCCTCGGAGGCTGTGGGGACACAATGAAGCACAAGCAGGGAGTTGGGGGGCAGGATAAAGGGCTGTGCAGCTAAACCTTTCAAAAGCGCTAGCGCTGGCTCTGCACCCCTGACGGGTCCACCCGAAGCTCCTGCGGCCAGAGATGCCTGGGGAAGGCCTGCCGCCCCCGCGCACCTCGGTGCTCGTTCTGCAGCCGCAGTCGCTGGTTGTACAGGCTCTTTTCGGTGAGGTGCTGGATTTCCAGCAGCCCCTGCACGATCTCGAACACGGTGCCGTCGAGCAGCGCCAGGGCGAGGTCGCTGAGCGTGGTGTAGGACAGGCGTTGCTGGAAGGAGCTGCGGGCAGAGGGGCGCTGAGCGCAGCCGCGGCCCCGGGCAACCCGGCCCCTGACAACCGGACTCCAGACAGCCCGACCCCCGGCTCCAGACAACCCGACCCCCGGCCCCAGGCTCGCACCTCGGGAGCTCCTTGACCAGACTCTGCAGTGCGGACAGCAGCTGGTAGTGCCGCTCCTGCTGCCGGGCCCTGTCGGCGACCTCGTCCCCAGCGCCCGCGTAGTGCTCCATAATGCCGGCCGCCGCCACGCCCCTCGCGTCAGCCTCTGGAGCAGGTCACGCACAAGCCCCGCCTCTCACGTCCGTCCTGGGCGCGCTCGCCGCCGTGCGTCCTCCAGAACGACGCTCGCCCCGCCCCTCCGCGGAGGTTCCTCCCAGTCACGATGTATTGGGGTTATGTGTTGGGGGCTAACTAGGCCTCCCGCCCGGTTGGGTTGACCTTAAAGCTCAGGATCGCTGCGCCTTCACATCCTGGTATTTCGGAGGCAGGTTCCGCCCGCACTGAGTGTGCGCAGACGGAAGCTCGGCCCCCTCGCCACTGGAGGCGGGGAGCCCCAGCACAGCCTGAGCCCCTGGAAGAGGGTCAGGCAGTGGCATCCGTGGGCACCTGGGAACCCCTCTCGTCCTCTAAGCCATGTGGTGCCTGTGTGTTCGCTCTCTTCGCCCGCTGTGTTTCAGACCATGGCAAAGGACCATGCTGGAGTTAACTGGCCAATACAGAAGCAAAATACAAGGTCTTGCCCCAAAATTTATTATACCAAGCCTGAGAACACAGATTCAGGGTGCCCGGAATGACATTCCATCGAGATTACGTGAAGAAAGCATGAAGTCATGAATTGTGGTGGTTACTGTGCTCCATGAGGCCGCATTATGGCTATGCCTGAATAAAGACAGCCTGACTCTTAGCATCCATTATAGCCAAGCACAGACCAAATCCCTAGAACCGCCTTCAGAGGCTGTGCAACAAGGCCTTGCTGTTTCTTTTACAGCATGCGATGGGGAAGTAAAAGTGGGCTCTTATTAAGGGATTATGTTCCTTCTGTCCCTGTACTGACATAGAATAGCATACACAACTAAAAACAGATGTCATTGATTTAACCTTTTGTTTGCAGCGTAAGTGGGATAAATTTATTCCAGCAAACATCTGCTGTTTGCAGAAGTGGCTAGATTGATATACAAAACATACATACATACATACATTATTCTGGGTTAAGGGCAAGGAAAGGTCAGGAAGGATTAAGGGTGTATTTCCAGGTCCTCAGTGAGTTTGTCTACATTATAAGATTAATTTTTTGGTTGCAAGTGACTTTTAGTCACTTGTCCAGAGTATGTCCATATTGTAAAGTTATTACCACACTGAATCAGTGCATTTACTTAAAACACTGATGGGGGCATTAGGTAGGCAGGTTACAGCAGAGAGAGAAAATTTCCATAGGGTTCAGGTGTCACAATATTTGTGCTTTCAGGTTGATGGAAATGGTCTGATAAATTAGAATTTGAGGGCAGAACCTCCCTCTAGCCTAGAACTCATGCCAATCCTCCCCTGTCTCAGCTTCCAGAGTGCTGGGGACACAGGCATGAATCACCACACCCAGCTTTCTGCTATCTTTAGTAATATATTCTAAAAGTTTTAACTAATAGTGGTAAAAGGATGTGGCCACTGGGGTTTTGGATGTGACTCTGACTTGATATCACCACACCTCAGAGATCATTACTGGTCTGTGGATGTAGAGAACACAGCAGCAAAGGGCCAAGGGTGGAAAAATACTGGGTAGGTTTCCTCTGTTCCCCATTCCTTGTTAAGGAGATCAGTGGAGGTGTCTGTGAGAGGCCCCAATAAAGAGGACTCAGACCAAAGGTACCTGGGCTGCAGTGTAGGTGTTGGTGGTATCTCAGCTAGCTAGGGGCCTCCTGTCTTCAACAACAGCTTCCCTGACATGCATAGTCTGTGCACCCGAGGGGAAGGTAAATTTCTCCCAGGAGGCTTACGTGGCAAAGCCTTATCATTGCTTATGGTGAGGACTGAAAACATGCCACACAAGAGCTGAAATCCATATGACACTTTGTAACAAGTGATATGTGCAATCATAAGGGCCTGAGTTGGGATCTCCAGCACACACTAAAGAAGCTGAGTGTGGCAGTACATGCCTATAAATCCCAAAACTGGGAGATGGAGACAGGAGGATCCTGGGGGCTCACTGGCAGCCAGTTTAGCCCATCTTGAAAAACAAGATGAAGAATAATAAAGGAAGAATGAATGCACTGGTACATATGCCCTCCCCACCCACACATGTACATCACACATACAAAAAGAAGCTCTCCTAAGTCAAGTTTTTGGGGCATATGCCTATAGTTTCAGTAAGAAGGAGGCTGATATAATAGGATCATGAGTTCAAGAAACATGTAAAGGCCAGAGGTTGTAAAGTTACATAGTGAGTTTAAGATCAGCCTGAGCTGCATAGTCAACTCTGTCACAAAAACCAAACCCATAAAATAGAAGAAAGCTAATTGAGCCAAACCTTGGATTAATTTAAGCTGTGTGCACAGACAAGCTTAGGCTGAAATGCTAAGAATCTATATTGACTTGAGTAGATTGCCCTTCCCTGCTAAAATTTGGGATTAAAATTTGTATATATGACACTCAGAAAAAGCAACTTCATTTGTAGAGAGATTTTGGCTATGTGGTTTTTTTGTGTGAAGTGGGCTCATTGTGACACCTGTATCCTGTTCCCTTGACTATTTTTAATGCTTTGTGTGTGTGTTGTACATGTGTACATGTTTATGTGGATGTATACCCATGTGTGTGCCTGTGAGCATGCACATGTGAGCATGTAAGGACCAGAGGTTGACATGGAGCATCTTCCTCAGTTGTTGTCCACTTTATTTCTTTGCGACAGAGTCTCTCACTGAACTTGAAGCATATTTTTGGCTAGGCTGACTGCTATTGAGCTCTGCCTATCTCACCCTCTGAGCCCTGGCATTACAGATGCACACTACAGTGCAAGGTTTTTTATGTAGGTGTTGGGAATCTGAATGTAGGTCCTCAGGTTTGCTCAGCAGGCACTTTACTGAGGCATCTTCTAAGCCCCAGAGGTGGTATAATTCTTAATTTACTTTGGAGTATGAATAAGAGAAATGATACTTTCTTAAAGAAAGGGTTCTCATAACACTGCCTCTTAAGGGCTTTGCACTTTCAGAATCACATTCCCCATGGTGTCATCTAGTTTTTAACAATTATGTAACCATGTTGTGCAGTCCTGGTTACATTTCCCTTCTTTTAGGCCATGATGAGCTCTTGAGTAGTGAATTCAGATCTAGATAATTTAGAAATTACAGTGAAGAGACCTATATTTGGAGGAGTAATTTACATGTATAAATATGCTCCAAAGTGACTGCAATTTAATGTTGACAGTATACCAGATTATGATGAATAGCTTTAATTACATGTTTAAAAGTCATGATACAGGGCTTGGATGTAGCTCAGCTGCTTTCTATCAGGCATGATACCCTGGGTTCTACATAAACTGGGGGGGGGGGTGCATGCCCATAATCCCAGCACTCAGGAGTTAATGGGAGGAAGATCAAAAGTTCAGGGTCATCTTCAGCTACATAGTGAGTTACAGGCCAACCTGAGATACATGAGACCATGTCTGGAAAAAAGGTCATTAAATGTTCACATACATAAATCTGGGTATCAGAATGTAAGCAATTCTTGTAGTGTCGGAATGTGTCTTTAATATATTAAGAAATAAAAAATGTACCCAAAACAGGGGACATAGACATGAGTCATAGAATGTCATTGTGTACTGTATAATATCCTCTGATTGCTGAGACCCAAGTCACATTACTTCCCCAGGTAACATATCACAGCTTATGACAGCAAAGAAGAATGAAGCCCAGGGTTCACTATGGTACCATGATACCTGTGATACCACATGACAGCTAATGGAGGACACAGACTTCTATCATATATGTCACTAAGTCGTGTAATTTAAGTCAGCTGGGAGAAGGGATAGAAACCATCATACTATGTCATGATGTCACATATGATACCATACAGTGATCCACAGGAGAGCAAACCAATGAATTGTATCATATCATGTGACTGTGTCATACCTTAAGCTAGCAAGTAAAGCAGGCTGGAGTTACAGTTTTTCCACTCTGTTGTGTACTATGTCATATGACAGTGAGCCACAGTCTGTCAAAGGGATGGTGTGACATAGTCTGTGCATTGTAATGTAACATGCCAGGACTGCAATCCGTCCTCAGGTGACGCGGGCTGGGTCTGTTACACTGACGTCAGGGGGATGAGGATGTTTCCATTTTCAGTTGTTATAATACCCTAGAGGCCTCAGGATCTCATGTATGCTAGGCAAGAGTTCTATAACTGTGCCATACCTCCAGCCCAAATGCTGAGTATTATTAACATCTAATGTTCTCAGGTATTTTTATTGATGCCCTCTCATTTTCCTATATAAAAGAAGTATACCCCAATACCTAAATGTTCTTTTCCAATTTATAAATTTCAGCCTTATGATAACTTTGGTTTTTCTCAAAACTAAATATATGTAAATACCAATAAGAAAATTATCATCTACTACAGTTAATAAAGGATTAAAATAGAAAAAAACACCATAGAGGCCTGGTGACTTAAGCAAGTCTGGTCTGGTTCCTCACCCTACAGAAGATAAGATGGGATGCACACCTAAGAAACATTATGTTACCAAGAAATATAAAATGCATTATGTCAGTTGAGAGGAGGGAGGTATCAGTCTCTTATGTCATTTGTAACATGTGGTAACAAATGACAACTGAGGGAGAGGCCCAGTTTGGCTTATATTATCACATAAGATATACGACAGTTGAGGGACACACACTTTCACTACTTTGTGTCATTATGTAACTCATCTGATATCTAATATTTATCTAAGAATATGACAGAGGGGAAGGCAGCCCTGATTCATATTACATCACAGTGTTACTGAGGATATCAGGTAACATCAAAGACCACACGCCTCAGCCACATACTGTCACTATGGCATATATTAAATCCTATAATGACTAAAGGCGAAGACATGTCTCTGTGACTCATGACATCACATACATTTCACACAGCAAATGGGAGAGGATACAGTCACTACTCACCTCAAGTCGGGTTACCATAGGATACCAACATAACAGCAGAGAAAGTCATTATGACACTATGTAAAAGTGACACAAGTGCTGGTGGGAATGTGAGGACTAAAGTCACATTCCATCACCATATTGCATGAAATATCACATAACGGCCAAGAGAAGG